GTGATGAGTAATCTGCCAAGGGCCGGCCATCAGCGTCACAGTGTCAGCCAGCCCCTCCTATCCCACAAATCACACGCACACACGCACACAACACACACTTACACACACGCACAAAGACAAAACATGCGTCGCCCCAACCCCGACTCCGGCCCTTGCCCTGGCCGTCGCGGTGGCTGACTAGACACCCCCATCATACCATCCCCAGGAAGCGGGGCAACAATCAACCAAACGCGGGCCCATGCTCACGGTCTGTGAGGTACAGCAGGCACCATTGGATCCAGATGCAGTCGTACCGCCCCGCCACCGGCTCAAACTGCTGCAGCCCCTTGCACAGGAACTCCCCCGTCGCGTGGCCCTGCGGGACGACGGGCCGGCGTCAGATGCAGTCGAGCCCGTCACATTGGCAGCAAGAGAGAGAGGGGCAGGGCGTTCACGCTCGGCGCTGCAGGGGCTATGCCCCGCCTCGCTCGCTCGCCGCGACGGCCTGCCCGGCTGCCTTTGATGGGCGCTCTTCATCGGTCCCCCGGCCCGGACCCGGCATGTTTGAAGAGTTTGAGGGAGTTGATGAAAAAAAAAAGCGTGCGCACCTCCGGGTAGTTCTTGCCCGCCACTGCCAGCTTTAGGCTCTTCTGGGCCTTTTTCAGCAGGTGCTGCGAGGGCTCCAGCTACGGGCCGGGCCGGGCGGGGCGCGGGCACGGCGCGAGGGGCAGGCGGGGGCTGCGGGTGGGCACGGGTGCCGTGCGCAGGGCTCCGGCATGGGCGATTGCGCGAGGCCCCAAAGCTGCGAAAAGCGGCCTAACATCGCGCGCAGGCCACTGCCGGTGCTGGCGGGCCCTGGCAGGAACCCACCAGGTCCACCATGTGGAAGTGGTGCAGCAGCAGCTCCTGCGTCACGCGGCCCACGCCAGCGCCGCAGTCTGCCGCGTGTGAGCACAGGGGGTTGGGGTTTGGGGGAGCGTGAAGGGGACAGCGAGGTGAGGGGGCACTGCCGCAAGCTCCTGGGAGCTGACCCCTTGCAAGTGGGTGCGGAAAAAGGGGGTCGCGGAGCGGGAGGCCAGGACACGGCCCACCGCGCGGCGGCGGCAGCGGCAAGAGCGATGGAGCGGCGGCGACGCACCCACTGCCGTGAGCTTGCGCTTGCCGCCTGCCGCTGCTTTGAGGTGGGTCTTGAAGACCTGCGATTCATGGGCGCCAGGCGGCGACGCAGAAGTTGGGTCGCGGTGCTGCCCGGGACGCGACCTGACCTGGCATGATTGCCGGATCTAAACAGCGGGTTAAAGGAGAACAGCGCTGCGCAGTGAAGGTCAAGGCGGCATGGGCCTGCGACACCCTGATTACGGTTGCGGACCCATTGGCGACGCCGAGCCGCTGCACGAGCCGCCCCTGGCCCCCTGCCGCCCCTCCGGCCCCCACTCGCCCCGGCAACAAGCTTCGATGCTCCGCGCCTTGGGCCGTGCGGCCCCAGGCAGCCAGCCGCCTGCCTGCACGCACAGCAGGAGCCGCGCCCGCGCCCGCTCCGGGCTCCCCCGTGAGCGTGAGCTTGCGCCCCAGCCCTGCGCCGCGCGTGCTCGCCGCGAGAGGCCACTGCAGGGGCCCACCTTCCGGAGCATCTCCCGGCTGTCGCCAATGTCGAAGCTGCTGACGTGGCCGAAGCCGCCGAGGACGCCATTATAGGAGGCCTCCTGCTTGTCCCAGTACTCGACCGCCCCCTTGTACCAGCCCTCATGGGTCCCGTCCTGCCCCTTGGCGCGCTCCCAGAGCTCCCCAGGGCGGGAGTACGCGCCCTGCAGATTGAACGGGTGCATGCATGTGCGTGCATGGCGGTGTGCATGGTGGGTGGGCGGCATGCGCAGGGCGCAGGGCGCAGGGCGGGCACGCCTCGGGCTGCCCTGCATGCAGAAGGTCAGCTGCATGCTACTGCTGCCTGCAGCATGCGTGAGCAGTCACCTTGCCGTCTGAGTCGCGCCCCGGCGCCTCCATTCCTCTGCGGGTTGCAGGCGGCTGCACCGCTGCCGCTGCTCGCGATGCGCCGCCGCCGCTGGCTTCAACCGGCCGTCCGTCACAAGAGCACAGCAGGAGGAAGGATGACAGAGCGAGTAGTTCGTATATAAATGTGAATGCTACAGGCGCTGGTGAGGATGTCTAAGCCAGCTCTACAAGGCCACGAAAATGATAGGCGACTCGATTGCGACGGGGCCTTGAGGACATCCGACTTAGTCTTCAAGCGTCGTGAGGTATCTCTGCGCTTTTGCAGCAGGATATGATAAGTCAGCGAAACTCACAACCAGATCAAGCGGGATCTCTGCAAAAGTATGATGTTGAGGCTTCCTGAAAATATGTCAGATAACATTACGATTCCAGAGTGGCGCATGCTTTTACACTTCCAGGTCTCGCTCTAAGCTGACCTGGAGCTGACTGCCAGGCAGGTGTTGAGACCACCGCCGTACTGGCTGCCTCCTTATACAAGGGCATACAACTCATGCTTGATCCAAAAATGACATCAGAAATGTTGTACAAGGTTGCGCCAGGTGCTGTGCGCATACCGCTGCTTGCCACGTTTGCCATTTGCCATGCCTCCAGTGATGATGGCCGGCTCCTATACACACCACCTGGAAATGCGTACGGTACTTGCCACTGCTATGACAAGTGGTGTTTCATGGTTTGTTTGCATGGCGTTGAACACATGGTGCTGAATACGCATTTAAAACACCAGACGTGCCAGTACCATGTCTGCTGCAGCCCTAGTCAAGCACGCTAAGGCTGCTCGAACGCCACCTGGAAATTGTGGGGGTTGGCAGGCTTGTGTCGGTATCATACCGCTTCATACAGCAACCATTGTTCCCGCAGTCTTGCTGTTGTGTGCCACTCGGCCGCTCAAGCTATGTGGCAGCGCAAATCCGAACCCCATGGTGCACATCGCTTGAGCCTCCGGTTGCTAGCATTGGCACGTGAGCCTTGATTCCTACTCGTGTTGTATCCATGACGGGTAAATAGTGACGGGACTCAATTCCAGCACAAGGTGCAGTGCAGTCTCAGTCAAAGTCACCAGGTCACTCGCACCCTTGCGCGGGGAGTGCATGATGAGCTACCCTAGGCACCGACTAGCTTCGTTCGCTACTCACGATACATGTGTGGCTTTATTGAAAGAAATTTGCATCGCTACTGCTAAGATACTCAGCTTGGAGCGCAAAGTCACTCGCAGCTCAGACTTGGTGGCCGGACGAGTGACAAATCGTTCAATCACGCTTCGAAGACGAGCATAGGTCTTGAGAAACAGTGCGCTCCTTGGCTACAGTGGCCGTGCAGGGCAGCTGTCGTGCGAGGTGGTGCCCAGGTGGGGTTGGGGTCCCGCCTCTGCCTCTGTGCACGCAGTACCCGCTTATGCGCCTGAGCCGGTGCCAAGCGAGCGCAAGTGTGGAACTGATTCGGGATTTTTTGCTTCTGCACTCATAACATGCCCTTATTGATGGGGTTCATCGCCACTAGACTCTGACGCCACCGCCGACCACGCACATCTCATGTTTGCAGGGGGTGTGGCAAGGGCAGCCAAGTCTTCAGGGGCCGCGCCCCAGGACATCGCGGCTGCCTGAACCCCCTCACAACAGCAGGTGATGCCTCGCAAGGACCCCTGCAACGCCGCGCAGCGCTCCAGCGACGCATCGCAGGCGGCTCGCGCGGCGCAGCAGCAGCAGCAGCAGCAGCAGCAGCAGCATCAGCAGCAGCAGCACCATCTTGTAGTGCTGGGCAGCCACACCGCGCCCCAACCAGCCAGCCCCACAGCTGGACCGACGGAGAGCGTCTGCAGCTGCGCGCCTGGCCTTGAGTGGTCACCAAGCCCATCAGAGCAAGGGACTCAAGCCGCGAGCTGCCATGGTAGGAGCCTGCTGCAGCAACAAGAGCATCGCCCAAAGCAAGGAGGAAAGGCGAAAGGCGAGGGCGATAGCAAAGGCGCAGCGCTTGGGCCCCCGGGCTCGGAACTACGGCGGCTGGCGCTTGCTCACCCCGGGGTCACGAGAAACGCCCAGCTGCTGCTGTGCCCCGGGTGGGAGGCCTTGGCCGCAAGCGAGCGTGCTAATGGGCCACTCGCAGCTGCAACAGTGGCAGGCGGACCGCAGCCGGAGAGCCGCCCTACGCCAGCGAGTAGCGCGGCGGTAGAGCCGGTGATGCCAGCCAGCAGCCTTGGCTCCACCGCACGTGAGTGGTCTTATGCCACGGCCGCTCGCGCGTGCGCAGCAGGTGCAGAGTCGCGCCTCCCACCGCCGCAGCACGCACTGCTGCACACCATCGTGCAGCTGCAGGAGGAGATTTCGCAGCTGCATATGCTGCGGCAGCTGCTTGAGCGGCAGCTGCTGGCGCAGGAGCAGCAGCGGCAGCAGCAGCAGCAGCAGATGGCCCAGCAGGCGGCGCTGGCCTCGTGGCATGCGCGGCATGCCAGCTGCTTTGCCTGAGTGTGCGTGCCACTAGGGGCAAGGCAGGGCGAGTCTGGTGGGTGTCAGACGCCCCTGCGTGCGACGACTGGCCTCCCAATAAACATACTCCTGTGCAAGGGCTTGCATGAATGGCCCGCACTGGTATATGCTGGCTTTGGCCTCGGCAAGTGCCTTTGCGTGGTAAACCTTGTAACGTGTTGCCAAGCTTCACACTGCTGGGGTGCGGTCAACCGCCTGTTCTCACTAGCGGATGGCGTCGTAGCAGCACCAGGGCAGCAGCCAAAGCGAAGGGCACAGGTCGTCGTGCGAAAGGGCGCCACTGGCAAGGTTGGCGCCGGTCCAGCAGCAGCGGGGCGCCAGGAGGGCAGCGCGGGCGTGGTGCGACACTTTCATGCCTTTCCCCGCTTGGCGCCGCCGCTCCCAGCCGCGCGGCCGCGCCTGCCGCCGCGAGCGGCAGGCTCCGCCTTGGTGTCGCCGCCGTCTGCCTGGGCCGCAGGATGGTGGTTGCAGACGTTCTGATTCAGCAGAGGAAGAGAAGCAGCTGGGGTGCGCTCCATCGCAGCTGATTGTTGCAGGCAACGCACATGCAGGGCGCTGGCGTGAGCGGCGCAACACTCATGACCCACTCCCGCATGAGGTCCGCTTAGCGCAGCGGCTGCAGGCCGCTGCATGACCAGCCCTTCCCCCACCTGATCGCCGTCTGCCGCACCCTCGCCGCCCTTCCTCTTGCGCCCGCCTCCGCCAGCTTTCCCGCCCCCAGCGCCCCCCCGCGTCGCCGCCTCCGTCGTCGCCGCCGCTGCTGCCGCCGCCGCTCTGCCACGGCCCCTGCCGCGGCCTGCTGCCGCAGCGGGGCCCCTTGCGCGGCCGCGGCCCTTGCTCTTGGCCGCACCCGACAGGGGGCCCTCCGCAGAGCTCACCGACTCTGTCGGCGAGCCGGCGCCCCCATCCTGCTCCCTCTCCTGCTCCTGCACCTGCCGCCGTCGCTGCTGCTGCTGCTGCCGCGGCGGCGGCGCAGCAGCCTCCTCCTCGCTCTCCTCGCTCTCCTCGCTCTCCTCCTCACTCTTTTCCTCGCTCTCATCTTCGCTCTCCTCTTCGCTCTCTGCACTCTCCTCCTCGGATTCGGTGTCCGCCTTGCGCCTCCGCTTCCCGGTCCCCCGCCCTGCCGCCGCCTTGCCCCGCCCGCCGCGCGGCGCCGCCGCCTTCTTGCCCGCCGACGCCGGCTTCTTGCCGCCGCCGTCGCCCTCGGCCTCGCCGGTGCCGCCCTTCCCGGCGCCTCCCACCAGCTTTTGGAGCTCTGGAACGTACGCGCTGGTGCGGCCACCGGCCTGGGGAGGTCATAAAATTATGACAAATATCATAATACATATAACATAATTCAGCACTTGCATGTTTCAGGTCATCTTCATTGGCAGGGAGGCGGCCCATGCACATGTGTACCAACGAGCACCGGCGCAGGCATGTACACACTCAAACACGTTTGCACGCATGCTGACAAAAAAACTCACGTGCAACTTGTCACACAAACGCGCGCACACACACCCACACACACACACACACACACACATACACACACATACACACACGTGTGCGCGCACTCGCACACACACACACACGGACGCACATACGCACACACACACACACACACACACGCACGCGCCTGCACTGTCTTCATGATGCGTCCATCCACGACTCCATCCTTCCTGCTGGTCCACCTGGCGGTCGGGCGGGAGGGAGGAGGGGGCAGGGGACGCAGCGCTGAGCGGGTGACGACAACGGGCGCAGCATCGGGTGGGTAAGCAAAGAGGGGGGCCGGCGAGGGTGGGAGCTGGCAGCAGAAACGGTGGAGGGGTTCAGGAAGAGAAAGCCAGGGCGGGTGAGGCCGTGCGTCAGGAAGGGGGAGAGGTTGGAGTAGGATGCGGGCGGCAAACTCGGGGGTGCACCAGTCGGCGCTCTTGAGCAATGCAATGAGCGCCGAGCGCCCCGCCGACCGCCCATGAAAGCACTACCCTGCGGCTCGCCCCCTGGTCGTTCCCCCCACACAGCCGCCACGCGCTCCCCCGCCCACACACGACCCAGACCTGCTGTGGAATATCCAGCCCGGCGGGTACCGCGCCGCGTCCGCGCGCACGGCAACCGCCGTCGCGACCACGCTGCGCACGGCCTCGTGCAGCGCAGCAACGTGCTCCCGGCCCAGATCCGCCACCGGCTGCTCGGGGTGCAGCCGCGCGCAGTACAGTATCTCATCGGCCACCCAGTTGCCCACGCCCGCCGCGAACGCCTGCGCGGCGGCAGGGGAATGCAAGGAGACGCGGGGTTGGGCCGGGCCGGGTGCGCGGCATAGGTGCTGGTTGGCCCGCTGAGCGCGCGCGCCGACGCTTGGAAAGGAAGCCAGTGCATCCGCCCGAATCTGACAAGCGCCCTCAAGCGCCCAAATCATAGTCTGAAATCCAACTGCACCTCGGCTGCCCGTATGGCCCTGGGGATGTCAAACGCGGTCGGGTCCCAGATCAGATCAGGCCTCCTCAGATCTGGAGGATCACCTCATCCCCCAGACCTGATCTGGCCGCGGCTCGGCACACCGCGCACCTGGTCGAGCAGCACTGCCTTGAGCGCCGAGCGCTTGCGCTTCATGAGGCGCGCCTCGAAGTCCTCAAGAGACGGCATCTCGGTCAACGGGTCAAACCCCAGCTTGGCAAAGGCGTCACACTTGGCGGGGTCGCCCTGGACCAGCCGCAGCCGCCCAAACCTGCGAGTGAGATATAAGTTGGTGGGTGGGCGGGTGGGCCGGTGGGCAATTGGGCATACGAGCATCGGGGCGGGCAGCCAGCTGGGATGGCCTGAGATGGGGATTCGCCGCGGGCGTGCTGCACGGGCTTTGCAACACCCCTCCACACGAATTGGCCGGGGCGTCAGATGGGGACCCGGGCAGCCCGGATTGGACTAGGAGGCGCGTGGTGGGAGGCTGTGCTTCCAGGATCGAGGCGTCGCCATAAGGCACCTCGCATGAGTCATCAGGTGCCCTGGGGTGTTTGAGGGGTCGGGAGCCCCACACTGCGGCTTGAGGAGGTTGGCATGATGCGACGCCCCATCCATGCAAAAGGGAGGCTGCGCCCACCGCCCACCTGCGCCACTCATCAAAGGCGAGCCCGCTGCCATCCTCAAACTTGAGCTCCAGCTGCGAGGCGGGGCGGGGCGGCGTGGCAGGCTGCGTCGCAACCAGGCGGCAAGCTGTGTGGCGCTGGCAGCGCGGCCCGCGCCAAGCCCCGTTTGGTGGTCCCTGAAAACCAGGCGCGTCGCAGCCGCCCGCGGCTGCCGGCTGCCGTAGCGCGCCCCAGGCTCACGCCCCCTGGCGTGGGCCCGGCCGCCGCACGCCGGACGGACACGCGCGGGCGCTGGCGGACGCCACACACGAGCCGCGCAGCAGGACAGCGGGGCAGGAGGGCAGGAGGGCAGGAGGGCAGGAGGGCAGGAGGAGGGCAGCAGGGTGCCCGCCCCGGCGTGCCTTGCAGTGGGAGGGCGGCCAGGCTCTGTCGTGGGATCCCTTCTTGGCGGCTCGGTACTTGAAGTCGCGCAGCATGGACCCATCAGGACCCTTGACTGTGGAGGCGGGCGCGGGCGCAAGTGCGAGCGCGGGGCTGTGTTGAGCGCTCTGTGTGGGATGGCGGAGCAGTGGGTGGGGGGCGGGCGCCGCGGCGCCGTGCAGCGAGCCAGGCAGGGCGTCGCGCAGCTTCAGGGCTGGCAGTGCCGCGGCGCCACGCGCTCCCGCACGGGCAGCGACTGCGCCAGCCGCACACGGCTTTCTGACCACAGCGAGCGGGGCGTGGCCGCCGTCCTCACGCCGACTCCTCGACACGGGGCGTGTAGGGGCGGCAGGAAACGCGTGGGAGGGGCGGGGCGGCTCACCCAGCAGCTCTCCATCCATCCCCAGGTGTATCAGCAGCGCCGGGCCCGGCCCTGACAGCTGGACCCACAGGTTCTTGCCCTTGCGCCCGACCTGGCAGGTCGCGAGGTTGTTGTGCAGACAGGGGATGCAGGGAATCTCAGAGCGAATTGCGCGCAACAGCGGCAGCCTGCGCACACTCAATAATGGCGGTGACTCGGGGATGCTGTGAGGCGCGGCCGCTCTGCCTTTCTCCGGCTGGCGCTGGCCTGTTGCATGTGATGCACAAACGGGAGGCTGCGCTGGTGCACTTGCGCAACCGCAAAGCCCAGGCACTGAGAAACTCCTGGACGATTGCTTGCTGGAAGTCGTTGGGGTTTTAGGACCCGCTGCTATGACCAGTCGCCGGCTCATGATCCCCAACAACGCCACGCCCACGCCCACGCCCACGCCCTCGCCCACGCCCACGCACACACCACACGAAAGCATGCAGGCCCCCCTCCCTTGCGCAAGCACTTGAGTGCCGTGTGCGCGCATGCACACCTGCTCCACAGTTCGTCCTTCTAAAGCCGCTTTCATTTCCTCATGGGTGCAGCCCTCCAGCACCTCTGTGGAAAACAGGGTTGGTTGCGCATACATGATGAGAAAGGAGGGGTTGCTGGTTGCAAGGACCTGTCTGCAGTGTCTGCCACTCGCAGCACCTCTGTGGCACCACACATGCGCATTGTGCGGGCCATGGCGCAACAGGGCTAGTTCCTCATTTCTGCAAGCTGAGTGGTTTGCTGCAGCAATGCAGGCGCTTTGGGGTTGTGCGGCAGTGCCGCCGCGCCAGGAGACGCTCCCGGCAGCAGAGGCGCAGCTTTGCTCACTCGCATCGTCGGCGGCGACGCATGTTATGATCCGCTTGCCCTGCAGGTGCTCCTGCAGATCCTGATATCAAACATGTGTATGCCAGACAGCCAAATGTCAGGACGACAATTGCAAGTGAGAGGCAATCGCAACGTGCACCTTCTGTGCTGGCCGCGCGGCACGACCGCCGCGCACCAGGCGAGCGTCCTCCACCTCCGGAAGCTCAGGCATGGCGCAATGAATGCGAATGAGCCCCCACTAGTGTTTCTTGGGAGGCTGCGCTGATCAGGCGCCGGTGGTGAAAGCAGTGTTTCAGCGAAGCCTCAGATTCACGGCAGCACCAAGTCTCGCGTTCTTCGGTTGTATACGACTCTCAGAAATTCCTGGCCACGTTACGACCCTAATCCATCGGGGCTTCGGCGCACGGACCCTAGATCAGTCCACACACCCCCTGGTCACCAGTGTCACCATGCTCACACTGCTGCATAGGTGGCAACATATCCTGTGCACCAAGGTGCATGGGTTAACATGTGTTGTACTGCTGCCCTGCTTGCCCAGCACAGCACTTGCCGTAGCCATGTGTTGACCAAGAGGTGAGGGAGTCGCTGTGCTCATGAGGAATGGGCAACCTCGTCCTATGATGATGCGCCAACTCTGCGGACCGCCCCACATGGCAGGGGCCGCCAAGACTTTGGAAGAAACAAGGAACGTGGTTGCGGACAATCGGCCGTGTATGCTGCAAGCGAGCACCGCCAGCAAGCCTTGCTACTCATCAACCCGAAGGCATTGTGTACACACCCACGCCTCCCAGGTTGTGATCGATTAGTACTTGTCACCAGCATCCTTTGCCTGTCAAGGCTTGTCGCGCTCGTTAGAGAAGCGGAAGCTTTTCGCGTGATGACCTGCGCAAGGGTAATCTCCTGCCTGACCTAGCCTACCATTGCAGGCCCGGGCTCCTGCGTGCAGCTGCCGCCACAGCAGCTTGGGGGAAAGTCAATGGCTGTGCGCCGGCCGCTAATGCCGCACGGCCTGCCGCGCACCATTGCCGGGGTAGGAGCCCCGCGGCGCAGGCAGTGCGCCCAGCCGCACAACCATAACCCTCAACCCAGCAATTCAGTATGAAAGGTGAGCAGCGCCTACTCCAGCAGCTGCTTGCGCAGCCCGAATCTTTGAGTGGCCACTGATTCCACCATTTAAAAACATGACTGTATGTCTGAGTCGCTGCCACGAATGCCCTGCATGTGCTTTGGGGACCTGCTTCGAAACGTCCGTCTGGCCGTTTACTTCGTGTCCGAGCTGCCAATCCCCTGTTCAGCTCTACAGCCAAAATTATCTTCCTGCTGATGCTCTTGATGCTGCCTTCGCTGAGCCGTCAAGTTGCCCAATCACCTGCCAAATTTGTGTCCACTGGGGTGGCAAATGTACGCAATGGCATACTTGGCTGGCAGACACGTGGATGCAAGCTACGTATCCAGGGGAAGGCATGTCGACGCCACAGCATGGCGACCGCTGCATCAGCCTCAGCCTCAGCCCTGTTGACGAGAAAGGGACGTTGCAAAGTCGACAGCAGGCAACCACGCGAAACACAGCGTTGATGGACGCGTTGTGCATTGCGACCAGACTGGCAGGCACCGTCGGCCGCTTTGCACAGCACTGTGGTGGGCCCCCCTTCCACTGCCTGTGCTTGCGCTTGCACTGTGATACGTGTCAATCCCGATAGTACAGTTGCATGCATGCCACTTGACGTGCCATGCAGGGTTACGGGCAACTGACCAGCAGCGCACTACACTCCATTGTTGAATTGCTGCATCAACTGCAGCACCGCTTGCACAGCAGTCAACAGCAGCCTGCCCAGTAAAACAAGCCGTTCCAAGCCCTGTGTTTGGCTGGCCTCGGCTGCAGTTGCGAGTGCTACTGCTTTCACGCTAGGCCCCTGCAAACGATCGAGAGGATAACCGCGCACGGTCGCCGCAATAAGCAATCTCGCAACAATCTGTTGGGTCATGCATATGCTGGGATTGCATGTAAGACCGCAACCGTACAAGCTTTGCATCTGTGGTGGAGACTCTCGCTCACCAGGGGATTTTCTGGGCGACGCTTGGGTGCCTGCTTCGGATCTCAGTTCCCGTTCCTGGCTTGTTTCAGCCTGCTCTCGGTGCTCAACGAAATCCATCTGTCTTCGGAGCATTTCCGGCTTCTTCAAAACTCCTCATTGTAGCGAGACAGCAGTACCCTGCTGCCTCTGCTCAGCGCGTATCGTCCAGGCCAGCCCAGTGCCCGGCAACGCAGCACAGACAATCAAGGATGGCTCTCACCAGCTCCCGTATGGCGGCGCGGCCCATGGCCTCGAAGGCCGTGGCCCAGCGGGCCGTGATCAGCCGGTCCCGGGTCGTCCGCGCTAAGGCCGCGGCTGCCTCTGGCGAGGATCTTGGCTTCAAGACCATGCGTGATGGCGTGAAGGTTGCTGCGGAGGAGACGCTGCTGAGCCCGCGTTTCTACACCACGTGCGTGACCCCACGGCACCGGGGCGCGTGTGCGCAATGAGGGTGTCGCGGCCACAAGCGCACCAGCAGATGGTCAACTCTTGGACCTAGTGCATGCCTTGAACACGTTTGTGTACATCAGCTGGGTTTTCATGCGACGCATTGTGGTTGTGGCAGTTGTGTGCAGCTTGCGAGCTGCCGCAGGGGCTCCGGACGCCTCTCATTACCGCCACCCCACCCCTGCGCCCCACCCCACAC